TTTCCGATTTTCTTGGTCACTAAGAATGAGTCATATCAGAATAACTTTATTTCATTTAGTAGACTAGCCAGGCCTGGAAAATATGATAGCAACTATCTAGACTGTAATAAGCATTTGGCCAGTTAGCTAATGAGAAGCCTATGCTCCATGGACCAGATAGAGAAATGTGTGCTGGATGAAAGACTAATTGGTTGAGTTTGTAACTGGCTGAATGTCTGAACCCAGAGGATGCTGACTGCTGAACTGAGGTCCTTATGGAGAGGGAGATTTTTTAAATAGCCTGGTGGAAGGAAGTCTCAAGGAATCCTCACTGGTACTTGGTGGGCAATGTTTGCTCATCTAAACCCTCACAAAACACTCTATTAAGAGTAATCCCACCCTGGCCAGTTTGGCTCAGCGGTTAGAGCATTGGCCTGCAGACCAGAGAGGCCCGGGTTCGGTTCCTGCTAAGGGCATGTGCCTCAGTTGCAGTTTGTCCCCGGCCCTGGTTGGGTCGTGTGGGTGGCAACCACTCGATGTGTACCTTTCACGTCAATGTTTCTCTCTCCCTCCCTCCCTCCTACTCTATCTGAACAAAAAATGGCAAAATGTCCTTGGGTGAGAATAAAAAAAAAAAGAGTAATCCCAATAACCATATATTCATTCAACAAATATTTGTTGAGCATTCTTAACTAAAAAATTGAAACATTTTAAACTGTAGAAACAGACTAATAACATATGCCAGATACTTTTGTGGGAATGACATAAAGCAGTAAATAAAACAGACCAAACGACCTCTGTCCTTACAGAGCTTACATTCTGTTGGAGCAAGATAAGAGTGGGATGCAGGTCTCAACGAGAAAGTGACATTTGATCCAAGACTTGAAGGAGGTGAGGAAGAGAGACCTTTGGGGTAGAGAAAAACCAGTGCTAGAACTATTAAGCAAATTTAGCAAAGTTTCAGGATACAAGATTAATATTAAAAAATCAAGTATTTTTACAAACTTCAATGGAAAATAAAAAATTAAAATTAAAAAGCCAATTATAATAGCACCAAAAATATGTAATTCCCAGTGATAAATTTGACAAAAGATGTGCAAAAGACTTGCACACTGAAATTAATCTAAAGATCAAAACAGTATCTCACTTAACCCTCACATGCTACTTTGTATAAATTGACAAGTTGATTTCAAAATGTATGTAGAAGTGCAAAGGACTAAAAAGTCAAATTTTGAAAAACATAAACAAAGGTGGAAGACTTAAACTGCCTAATTTTTAAGACTAATGATAAAGCAACGTAATCAAGACAATGTAGCATTGGTGTGAAGATGGACACAGATCAACGGAGCAGAATAGAGCCCAGACATAGACCCACACATATATGGTGAAGTGAATTGCAACAAAGGTGCTAAGGTAATTCAAGAGGGCAAAGATAATGATGTCTTCAACAAATGGTGCTAATATCTTTATATCTGATTATGGTATTATAGTTATATTTTTAAGAGTACCAGTCTTGCCCAGTGTGGCTCAGTGGTTAAATGTCAAATGTCAACCCATGCACCAAGAGGTCACCGGTTTGATTCCTGGTCCGGGCATATGCCCAGGTTATGGACCAAATCCACAGTGGAGGGCATACAGGAGGCGGCCAATCAATGTTCTCTCTCTTCTTCTCCCTTCCTCTCTTTCTAAAACAAATAAAGAAAAAATAATTTAAAAAAATAGAGTATAAGTCCTTTATGGACATTATGAAATGTTTATGGATAAAATTATATTATATCTGGGATTGCTTCAAAGTACTATAGAAACTTAATGTGATAGATGAGAGTATAGATGAAACCACTATAGCAAAATACTTTGATCATAAAACTTAAATGTAATAGAAGTCTCTTCCCATATCTAAAAACACTTACCTAAGTAGACTCCCATTATAAAAAATTTCATGTAAACTTTTTTCTAAACATTTGGTTTTAAATTAATGTACACCTAGAGAATGATTCTGTTTATGTCCAGCTGTAACAAGAGAGGTGTTTTGCATTCAGAATATCTAGGCCTTTCATACCTAGAATGTGGGTGGAGTCTTCTTTTTCCCAGGACATGATTTTGTAGCCTACTGGTTGGCTCTGTGTTTGAGGAATTTAAGTGGTTTGGAGTTTTACTTTGGGAAGATGTCATTGTTTTAATTGCATAAATTTTATAAAGCACTTACGAAACTCCGTTTACCCAGCAAAACAACACCCCATCACACTCTTTCATTTTAGGAGCTCATACATGAATCAAAACAAGGAAAGCATATTATAAATTTATTTGTTGTAATATGTCAAGAAGATTCTCTTCCTGGGAACCATATCCCTAAACATGGACGTAGCTTCACTGAGAGATCTCTTTAATGTGTGTTTGAGGTCACAAGGGTTTTATCTATTTTTTAAAATTAATTAATTAATTAATTAATTATTTTCCTTTCCCTCTTTTTTTTAATTAATTTATTTTTTATCCTCACCCGAGGACATTTTTTTCCATTTTTTGCACAGATAGAGTGGGAGGGAGAGAGAGGAAGAGAGAGAGAGAAACATTGACATGAAAGGGACATATCGAGTGGCTGCCACCCGCACGACCAACCAGGGTTGGGACAAACTGCAATCGAGGTACATGCCCTTAGCGGGAACCGAACCCGGGTCTCTCCGACCGCAGGTCAATGCTCTAACCGCTGAGCCAAACCGGCCAGGGCCCCTCTTTTTTTTTTTTTCTTCAAATCTTTATTGTTGGATGTAAAATGTATTACAGATGTTCCACATTTTTCCCCCATTGACCCCCTCCTCCCCACTCCCGCCCCCCTCCCACCTTTTCCCACACTATTGTCTGTGTCCATTGGTTATGCATATAAGTTCTTTGGTTTATTTCTTCCCACCCCCCCCCAACCCCTTTCCCTTTGAGGTCTGTCAGTCTAGTAATGAATTTGTGCTTCTTAATCCCTTCACCTTTTTCACCCATTCCCCCAAACCCCCTCCCAACTGGCAACCAACAAAATGTTCTCTGTATCTATGAGAATGTTTCTGTTCTACATGTTCATTTTGTTTGTAGATTCCATTGTTGATAGATATGTATTCATTGCCATTTTGTTTGTTCATACATTTTATCTTTTTCTTCAAAAAGACCCTTCATCATTTCATATAATAACGGTTTGGTAGTGATGAACTCCTTTAACTTTTTCTTGTCTGGGAAAGTTTTTATATGTCCATCGATTCTAAATGACAGCTTTGCAGGATAGAGTAATTTTGGTTATAAGTTCTTAGTTTTCATCATTCTGAATATTTCTTGCCACTCCCTTCTGGCCTGCAAAGTTTATTTTGAGAAATCAGCTGACAGCCTAATGGGAACTCCCTTGTAGGTAACTAGCTGCTTTTCTCTTGCTGCTTTTAAGATTCTCTCTTTGTCTTGAACCTTTTTCATTTTGATGATGATGTGTCTTGGTGTGGGGCTCTTGGGGTTCATCTTGTTTGGGACTCTCTGTGCTTCCTGGACTTGTATGTCTGTTTCCTTCACCAAGTTAGGAAAGTTTTCTGCCATTATTGTTTCAAACAGGTTTTCGATTTCTTGTTCTCTCTCTTCTCCTTCTGGCACCCCCAAGATGCGAATGTTGGCACGCTTGAAGTTGTCCCAGAGGCTCCTTACACTATCCTCATTTTTTTGGATTGTTTTTTCTTTTTGCTGTTCTGATTGGGCATTTTTTGCTTCCTTATATTCCAAATTGATGGTTTGCCCCTTGGATTTACATACTCTATTATTGAAGCTGTGTAAATTATTCTTTATTTCAGTTAATGCCTCCTTCAATTCTAACTGTGTATCCATGATTTCTAACTGGTCCTTTTTCATGCTCTTGAGGCCCTCCCTAAGTTCACTGAGGTTCTCACTAAGTTCATTGAGCATCCTTATAAGCAGTATTTTGAACTCAGTATCTGTTAGGTTGCTTATCTCCATTTCGCTTAGTTCTTTTCTTGGGGTTTTGTTCTGTTCCTTCATTTGGGACCTGTTTCTTTGTCTCCTCATTTTGGCTGCCTCCCTGTGTTTGTTTCAGTGTATTACTTAATGAGAGATATGGGGCTTGCTGAGACCAGATGCTGCTCGTTTGAAAGAATTTAGGAAAAACCTGAAGCAGGATCCAAGACAGGCCAATCCTATGGTTAAGCAAGTGGCAACAGCTTGGGTGGGCTTGAAAGTTGTGTGGGGCGGGGCGGGGCCTCAGGGAGTCAGCAGGGCGGGGCTACCAGTGTGAGCCAGGTTGCTGGAGTCCCAGATATGGCGACTGTCTGCCGCCCCAGGGAAGAGTTCACCAAAGGAACAAAGGCCTCTTACAGCACGTTTGTCCCCGAGGAAGCCCCCTCTCCAGCCCTCGCTCCAGTGCCAAACAGCGCAGTTCTTCCCTGTATGTCTCTGGTGCCCCTCGAGCTGCCTCCCCTCCAAGCTTAGAGGGAGAGAGTCCGATAAGTCCGTGCGCGGGCCCTTTAGGGAGCTGCCTGGGGCTCCAGCCGCCTCAGCCTCCCTGAGCCTCAGTTCCCGCTGGTTTTTCCAGCCAGGAGTTATGGGGATTCTCTTCCTGGCACTGGAACCCTGAGCGGGGCACCTGGTGTGGGACGGGGACCCCTCAGCCCTCAGGAAGGACCTTCCCAGCCGCAGGAGCCTCCTGATTTTTATCCGCCACATGTGGGTGTGGGACCAGCCCGTCGGGCCACTGCTGCCGCGGTCCCTCCTACCAGTCTGGATGTGGCTGCTGCTTTAATTTCATAGTTGTAGGACTTCCATTCAGCTTGATTTCAGGCGGTTTTGAATGATGGTTTTTCTGTAGTTTAGTTGTAACTTTGATGTGGTTGTGGGAGGACGTGATACTGCCTTTACCTACCCGCCATCTTGACTGGAAGTCAAGGGTTTTATCTCTTTAGGAAAAGTTAAGACTGAAAATCCCTTGGTTTCCCTCTGCTAGATGTATTGCTTTGTTCATTATTAATATGATTTTTTCTGTCTTCCAGAGATAGATTACTGTGCCTTACCTGGTCACGGATGTCAGCACGAGTGTGTGAACACACATGATTCCTATTCCTGCCGCTGCCTAAAAGGCTTTACCCTGAATCCAGATAAGAAAACCTGCCGAAGTAAGTAGCCCTCAGTGTTGGAAAAGGGCTTGTTCTGCTAAATGCACCACTAGTTTTCCTTTTCCTTGCAAATCTCAAGCCAGATATACTTGTAGGTAGCATTCATGTTTCTAATATTATTCTGCCCTTTACTCCATCTTTGTCTCGTGATCCTGTGATGGGGATGACGCTTAGAGATTGAGTAGACTGGATCTGCCCCTTGGATTCATTTAGCCATGTTGAGGCCCAAACCGAAGCCCTCCCCTATCTGAAGTGGGGGTGCACTCTCCCTCCTTCTTACTCTCACAACATGTATTTGGGACTTTGAGAAAGAAAAGGCTGGACCCAGAGACAGGAGGTAAAAGGAGCTGGTTTCTTCCAGTCCCACAAGGTAAGACACTTGGTAGCTGCTGAAAGGGGGAAATTGCAACTCTGTCCTCTTTGATATGAAGGAAATAAGACTCTGGGCAGCCCCATGCCATTCAAGGGGTACACGGTGTCAACAGGATGATATTAATGTGCTGAGTGACTCAACTGCCTGCCATCTGGCACTTCAAAGGGCCTCTCTGGGGATCTCGGCAGGGACCCCAAATGGGATCTTTTCAAACGAGACTTGTTCCTGATAGACCACTGGACTGGAAAGTCCACAGGGACAGAGATTCTTATCTTTTTCCCGTTCTTGAATCCTCAACAACTTCAAGTTTTGGCACATGTAAGTGTGACACAGTATTTATTAAATGAATGAATGAGTAAATGAATCTCTGAAATTTGTCAATCGAGAAATTGCAACTATTATTTGAATTACTCAGTCTTGTTGGAAAGATGATAATTTTTTTTTAATCCCTACCCGAGGATATTTTTCCATTTATCTTCAGATACAGTGGGAGGGAGAGAGAGAGAAACATTGACATGAGAGAGACACATCCATTGGCTGCTTCTCGCATGACCCTGAGCAGGGCCGGTGACCAAACCACAACCGAGGTACATGCCCTTGATTGGAATCAAACCCTTAACTCTTTGGTCCACGGGCTGAGGCTCTAACTGTTGAGCCAAACCGGCCAGGGCCAGGACTGAGTTTTCAAAGCTTTGACCATATCTCTTTGAAAAGAACTGTAGGCTATATAACTAAATCCAGACAAGCCACATTCTGCTTACAGCATATACTGACTTACATACTCACTGTAATGAGCGTTAAACCTTGTACTCTGGCCGATGGTCGCAGAGCCCATATCTCGAAACTGAGGCTCTCTTATGGAAGATACATCCCATTGCCTTGCCTGCATGTAAACCTGGAAACATTCTAGCATGAAATGAGAATTTCAACTGAGAGTGTACAGAATGTAAAAACAATTAGATGAAATGTTTTCCATTAGACCACACATGCACACAATATGTCAGAAGGCCAACTTTTCTGGCCTGGCTGCTCTTCTCTGCTATTCACACCTTTTTTTTCGCGGGGGTGGAGGGTAAATGTGTCAAGCACTGACTACACTCGGGGAAAATCACTCACAGGTGGACTCATATTTGTGGAACAAAAGTTTTTATGTGGGGGACAATCAGATCTGGTTCAACTCAGACACTCATTGTGTTACCGCAAGCTTCATCACATTACTGTGAGGGACGAGCACACAAGTCAGGCCTGTGGCTGTCGGGGCAGGGATCTGCCTGAAGCTCTGTACCTCATACCAGTCATCTGAGGTTCCCTCCACCCGTGCCACTCCCTCCACATCCTGCCTGGAGAGGCACGTAGAATCAAAGAAGGGTCCAAGGCAGCGCACACATCATTCTCAAGGGAGGAGGGAGGCCGAGAACCGGAGGCGAGTGGAGAGGAAGTGACCATCCAGGAGTAGTTTGACTACCACAAATCGGCCCACGGATGGGCCTGTTTGCAGGCTGTAGCCCGGTCCAGAGTCCCGAATGCTCATTAATACAGTATATTCAGCGATTATAGTTCCATTTCCTCTTAGCCAGGTGCTCTACTTTTTCATCCAAGAAAAATGGAATTTGTTCCTAAAACCCAATGTCCTCATCAGCCCTCCTCCCAACATCTTGCCTCATTGTTACATTTTCCAGTGTCTTCGCTGCAGACCCAGCCCTTGGCTCCTGAGCCGGCTCAGAGAGCCGCCCTGATTCATGTGGCGCTCGGTCCGCTGCGGGCAGCTGTTAGCGGAAGCAGTGCTCACGGTCTCTCCGGAGCATTACGTGGAAGAAGGAAGCAAAGAAATTGGCTTTAAAATCTGGACTTTGTTATTAGGAGTCTGAGGATCTCAAGAGCATTACAAATCTTGAGCTAAGGGGCCAGCCATTTACATTTAATAGGCGATTAATGGATGTGGGTTATTTTCAAGACTAATAAGAAATCTGTTTTTCAAAGGAATTTGATGTCATCCAATTAAACTGGGAGAAAAAAAAAGTTCAAGCATAATCCTGCTGAAGAAAGGACGCTTGGCCAGGATTCATCCTTCCTCCTCATCTGGGCACAATTTCTTTTTTCTGAAAAGTGCTGTTATCGATTTAAGGCATAAATTATTAAGGCGGCTGCATGAAGCACAGAAATCAGGACTGGCCTGGCTGTCTAGCTGGGCCCCAGGTTGGAGTCAGATGGGAGTGTGACCCAGGTGCTGGGCTCCAGGGTTGCTTGTGCTGGTGCCACAGCTGGTATCCCTATAGCCGGAGACATCACACTCTGAAGAGGCGGGCTGGTGTCCACAGGTTGGACTGAGCTGAGGGATGTGATGGCAGTGTCATTCATACTGGCCGTGTGATCTTGGACTGACTGCTTTACTTTTCAGTACCTGGATTTTCTAAACCAAAGGAACATGACTTCCTGCTTTAATAGTCTGTAGACTGTCCAATTCTTTCAAAACTATCTGTACCACTCAGGTGGCATTATAATTCATTCTGTAGGATCACGGGTCTTTCGTGTTTTTATGTCTTGCCTTCTCAGCAAGGTCTCCAACTCATAAGCGCTGTCTGATTTGTTATCTGACAATTCTGCCATCTGACTTCATAGGGACTTACTGGACACAATGGGTTTTACTAGATTAAGCTACACCCTAGCCTGGCCTATGTGTAGCACTTCACAGTTAGGGATGAGACCTGGCAAGTAACTACTCAATAAAACTGATTGGATGATGCCCTGGCCAGTTTGGCTCAGCGGTTGGAGTACCAGTCTGCGGACCAGAGAGACCCGGGTTCAGTTCCCACTAAGGGCACGTACCTCGGTTGCAGTTTGTCCCTGGCCCCAGTTGGGGTAATGTGGGTGGCGGCCACTCGATGTCCCTTTCACGTCGATGTTTCTCTCTCTCTCCCTCCCACTCTATCTGAACAAAAAATGGGGGGGGGGGGAATGTCCTCGAGTGAGGATAAAAAAACAAAAACAAAAACCTGGATGAATAAATAAGCAAATGAATAACTAAGTAACACAGGTGAAGGAATGTGACTCAAGCATGTGAATAAGGCAGAGATCTGCAGTTAAACCTCTGCTATAAGGAACCATTTGGAGAAGAGTCACTTTTAAATTGCTTTTTGCCAAATAACTGAGATAACCTCTCTAAAAATCTAGATGGCTTTTTTTCTTTTTTGGTTTGTTTATTTTGTGTGTCTCTTTCTTAAAGACAATTCCAGCTTTTTAAAAATTGTGGTGAGCCCTGGCCGGTTTGGCTCAGCGGTTAGAGCGTCGGCCTGCGGTCCTGAGAGACCCGGGTTCAGTTCCCGCTAAGGGCATGTACCTCGGTTGCGGTTTGTCCCCGGCCCTGGTCGGTTGTGCGGGTGGCAACCACTCGATGTGTCCCTTCACATCGATGTTTCTCTCTCTCTGTTCCTCTCTCTCCCTCCCACTCTACCTGAACAAAAAATGGAAAAATGTCCTCGGGTGAGGATTAAAAAAAAATAAAAAATAAAAAATAAAAATTGTGGTGAAATACACATAACAAAATTTATCATTGTATTTACTATTGTAACCATTTTATTTTTTTAAAATTTTTTGTCTTTATTGATTTTAGAGAGAGAAGAAGGGAGAGGGAAAGAGAGATAGAAACATCGATGAGAGAGAACATCAGTTGGCAGCCTCCTGCACGTACCCCCACTGTAGATCGGGCCCACAACCTGGGCATGTGCCCTAATCGGGAATTGAACCAGCGACCTGTTGGTGCATGGGTCGATGCTTAATCACTGAGCCACTGGCTGGGCTATTGTAACCATTTTAAAGTGTCTAGTTCAGTGGCATTAAGTACATTCACCTTATTATGCAACTATGACCACCACCCATTTCCAGAACTCCCTCATCTCTCCAGACTGAAACTCTGTACCCATTAAACAGTAACACCCATACCTCTCTCCCCCTTGTCCCTGGCAACCATCATTCTATCTTCTGTCTCTATGAGTTTTCTTATTCTAGGTACCTCATATAAGTGGAATATTTGTCCTTTTGTGACCTGGCTTATTTCACTTAGCATAATGTCTTCAAGGTTCATACGTGTCATAGCCTGTGTCAGAATTTCCTTCCTTTTGAAGGCTGAATAATATTCCATTGTATGAAATTCCATTTTGTTTATCCATCATCTGTCAGTGGACACTTGGGTTGCTTCCACCTTTTGGCTACTGTGAGTAATGCTGCTGTGAACATGGATATACAATTATCAGTTTCAGACCCTGCTTTCAGTTCTTGGGGGTATATACTCAGAAGTGGGATTGCTGGATTGTATGGTAATTCTATGTTTAATTTTTGAGGAACCTCAGTACTGTTTTCCATAGTGGCTGAATGCTAGCTTCTTAAAAAAAATTATCTTGCTGAAGATAATTTCACTTTTCTCTGATGGTGTCATGAAGTGATTCCTGCGGACCCAGCTAGTGGCCCCAGACTGTGGGCCCTTTGTGCTCTGTGTCTGTTTGCTTGGTTGGTTGGCTGCTTGTGTGCATGGACAGTGTTTTCTTGCCGAGCCTGTGTTTAGCTACTGGAGCTCTGCCTTGCGTTCTGGCTGTCCTGCACGGGTAAGGCTGCTGATGCGCAAGGCTGACGCACTGAGCTGCGTGCAGCTACCAATGTGCTGCCTCACCTTGTGCGACACGGACGGGTGCCATGGGGTTGGGACCCTTGGAGTGGCATCTCGTCTCCCAGGCCAGCCTCCGCATGTCGTGGGAGTCTCTCCATGTGCTCAGTGTGCAGCCTCTTCTCAGACTCCGTGATGTGAAGTTCCTTCCACCAGTCACCTGTGAGGGCACATCATGGACCCCTTTACAGGATGGGCCTGGGATCCCTGGTTCCATCCACAGCTTCGTTTTAACTAGCTGTAGGATCTTGAGTAAGTTAACCTCTCTAAACCCGTTTCTTCATCTTTAAAATATGGATAACAATAGCACATATGAAACGTCAAATGAAATTCTTAAGCACTTAGCAGGTGCTTATGAAATGGTAGCAACTATGATTATCATCAGTCACTTTATTATTGTACTACTTCTGATAATGATGCATCATAATAAAGACAAAAATGACATGGTCCCTGCTTGTGGAACTCACAGTCTGTGAAAAAAGCAGATATTGAGAACACACACACACACACACACACACGCGCATACACAAATGCTATGTGGTCACTGTGATGAATTCTATAGAAGAGAGAGGTCCCATAGAAAGATCTGACTTCATCAGGCAGGTTTCGCCAAAGGTGTCATTGAAGAAACAATGTTTTTCTGACTGTGAAGGAAGATAGAGGTTAATGAGGACAGTGAGGGGACAGTGAAGCAAGGAGGTGATTGATGAGTGTTCTGTTTTCAGGTTATTTGTGTATGTAAGCCTCTTCAAATCCTTTTTGGGCAGAGATACTATAAATAAAAATAAAATGTGTGTTTTCTTAGTTCACTACTTCATGGTTTCAGATCATGTCCCCTGATCAGTTAGGGTGCTTTCGGTCATGCAAAATAGGAAATCCAACTAATGGTGTCTGAAGCCAGTTAAGGACATTTACTTTTTATCTAACAGATCTGGAGGTGGTTGATCCTGAGCCAGCTCAGTGACTCAGTGATGTTGTCAAGAACTCAGACTCTTTCTGTCCCTTTACTCTGCTAAAGCATGTTGATTTTTCATCCTCACGCATGTCACCTTGTGGCCATAAGACAGCTGCTGCAGCTCCAGTCGTCTTGACCTCACACAAGTAGATCCAAAGACAGAAAGGAAAGAGGGTAGAGAAAGGCATTTCTCTTTATACATCTTTGCCTTTTCAGGAAGAAAAAAATTTCCTAGGGTCCCCAATCAACGTCTCCTCATGCCTCATTGGCTAGAACTGGGGCATAGTCCCACCCCTAGACCAATCACTGACAAAGGAGAACACGGTTGACCAGCCCTGATTCATGAGGATCAGGGTTCTAGTCTCAAGAAGGCAGAGTAGTGGTTGTTGGCAAGGCAACCAACAGAGTTTGTCACATCTTCAGAAAAAAGAACAATGCCGTTAAAGTGATCCAGCCCAGCCACTGAGGTTGGTGGTGACCTTTCCCCCAGCACCAATCTCATGAAAGCCCTCCACAAGCTCACTGGATTCCCTTACACCATTCTCCGTCTCTCCCATGACCTGCTCTGTGTGGGCCCTTGTGGTTTTAACATTTGCTACCCGGAAATGAAACTGCTAATTGGCTGCTAGATATCTAAACTGCTAAATAGCTTGGATGGGGTGACTGTTTCCATAGAACCAAACTGCAACAACCAGGACAGCATTGGTTCCTGAGGTGGAGGCCATCATGGTCTCACTCAGTGAGGTTACGCATTTGGGCCCTTCTTAATGTAACTGCCATTTCCTTCCTCTTCTAAGTAGCTGGCTATCTTACATGATCAGCTTTTGTTATTCTGCCTTGTGCTGCCCGACGTCCCCATGCTCGGGAGTCCTAGTGATCAGGTTAATTGGAAGAAGAGACTACTGGATTTTCTCAGTTTTTCCATTTTTCTTGGAAGAGGCTGAGCTGGGGGCTGTGGCCCTCAACCCATTTTTTAGCTCTTTGGCCATCGAAGGAGAGAGATCATGCTAGAGAGACCAGGGGTGCACTTCAAGTACCAGGTTCTCCTTCACGTAGGCTCTGGAGAGCAAGCGCTGTTTTCCTGTGCCCTGCAGAGCACCTTTACTGAATATTTCCTGTGCAGGGCTGACCTCACAGCCCTGGGAGAACCCGGAGCCTGAAGCAGGATATTCTCCTATTCCCCTCAGGGATCAACTACTGTGCGCTGAAGAAGCCAGGCTGTGAGCACGAATGTGTCAACACGGAGGAGGGCTACTACTGTCGCTGCCGCCGGGGCTACACCCTGGACCCCAACGGCAAGACCTGCAGCCGTAAGTGTGCCCAGGGGCAGGGATGCTGACTGGAGGGAACAGGCCACACCAGGCCCCCAGAATCACAAGCAGCCAACTACTTCTAAAGTTCCTGGGTTTCCTGTGGGCCTGATGGTCTGAAAGACTTAACCTTCTTTGCCTCGGTTTTATCATCCGTAAAATGGGACTATTAATGCTACCTACCTCCTAGATTGCGTTCTGAGGATTAAAATAATCAGTACATATAAAACACTTCGAAAAGTGCTGCTAAACATGTAATAAGCACTCATAAATATTAGCTAATCTTATTACTTGCTGTTGAAAGCACTGATTAGGTCAGACCGTCCCAAAGCCAAGTCCAAGCTCTGCCACACACTGGACATGTGATCAGAGCACTTACTTTTAACTTCGCCAAGCTCTGATTTCTCCATCTGTTTGAAAAAGTGAAAATAACAACGGACTTATCTCCTAGAGTTGTTAGGGAAAATAATCAGAACCATTTCCGCCTCTGAGCACTGTGCCCGGCACAGGGAAAACAGTTACAGATAATAGTTCATTATTATCACGGAGCCCGGGAGAGTGACGAGTGCTGGCCTCAGCTCGGGACAAGAGGCAGAAGGGACAGCTCGGAAAGCACTTGGGCCACCACAGAGCTAATCTGAGGGCAGAGCTGCGAAACATGGGCCTTTTTGTGAAGCCTTTTCCTAATTTTCTTGTGTAAGAGGCACAACAAAGCTCCATTTGGTGATGTAAACGCACAGAAACTTGCCAGTTTTGCCAGCTGGACGGTTCTGTCGTTTTTATGAAGCACAGTCTGCACTGGTCCAGGCCAGCAGGGGAGGGGGCGCCCGAGCATCGCAGCAGATGCCTGTGACCCTGGTGTGCTGGGAGAGGGGCTTGGTGACAAGGCCGGCAAGAAGGGGCCTTTTGTGTGGCTTTTCACCCAGCAAGCCCCACATCTGCTCCAGCTCTGGGGACAGAGATAGACTGTGAATGAGAACAGTGCAGCTGTTCAGCATTTGGACCTTAAACTGCGGGGGGCCGAGGCTTCACAGATGAAGTATTAGGTATAGAGCAGTCCTCAGGAAAATGTGCCCCTTCAGTCTTCGGAGGGAACACAGTGCCTCGATGAGGCCTTCTGAGGACTGGTCTCAGAGGTCAAAGAACTTTTGAACCAGAGGTTGGCACTGCCATGCATTTGCCCCTGGGTGTCTGAGTCCTCGTGAGATGCGAATGGGGAGCAGGAAGTCTTCCACTCGACAAGAGATGCCCTGGGGAAGACAGTTTGAGTCCATTCTGCCTTCTTCCAGGAGTGTGCATTCTGCCAGCTGACAAGCCCTGGCAGGTGTCTCGGGCAGGCTGGGCACCACCTGGCTGAGCCCACCTGGAGCCCCAAGGGCCATGGCCTGCCTCTCCCTCCCAGCATTCCTTGGGAGACCTAGAAGAGCTCAGAGGAGAGGCCAGAAGAGACTGGGCCATTTTTTTTCTCTGGCATCTATTAAGAAGGACCACCTACTCAGCTTTAGGAAAGTATAAACCAACCCAATTCTTCCGAGGGGTCCCCGAGAAAGCTGTGGTATCCTATTCCCCTTGAGGGCTCAGGGAGCCCCAGGGCACAATGACAAGGAGCCCGTGGGCGCTCGCTCCGGGCAGGCACTGCTGTGAGCATTTCCCAGGGGTTCACTCACTTTATCCTCACATCAGCCTTATAAGGCCTCTGCATTCTTATCCCTGTCTAAAGACTGGGAACCTGAGGCACAAAAAGCTTAAGTAACTTTCTTGGGGTCACGTGACTGGTAAATGGTAGCACAAGGATGTGAATACAGACCTCTGGCTCCGAGATCCTGCAGATGTTCGCAGTAGGCACATCCACCAGTGGAATGTTCCAGAAGGCATCAGTCCCTGGCCCTGCACAAGGACTCCAGTGTCTCTCCAGTCTCTGGGTTTGCGCTGTCTCATCAAGGAAATCTGGGAGGCAGCCTGCAGGGTGTGTGGGAGCCGTTCACCACGCGGCTCACTCCCAGCGCGGCCAGCCACACAGCCGGGTGCCAGGGGGCCTTGGTGTGTCTTCTGAATCTCGGTGTCCTGGTTACGAGGTGGGGGGCGTTTTCTTTTCCATTTTCAGATAGAAATGAAGGTATACAATGCACTGTAGTACTACTTAATAATAATCAGTGTTCATTAAGTGGAGAGTGTGCCAGTTGCTGTTCTGAGGAGTCCACATATATCAGCTCCTGTGCTTCTCACCACATTCCTCTAAGGAAGCACCGGCCTCGTCCCCATTTCTCAAGTCGGGAAAGGATGGCAGGAAACGAAGGCAGAGAGGCCAGGAGACTGCCCAGCATCCGTGGCGAGGAAGAGGTGGAGTGGGATTTGATCCCGAGGAGTTGATGCCAGGGCCCTCCTTCTGCAGCATCACTCTGTCAGCTGTGTGGCGCTGGGCCGCAGGTGTCCTGAGCCTGCTTTCCTCCCAGTGGGACGGCCGCACCTGTTCTCAGCATGGCCCTGAGGATTTCAGGTGATGGTGCCAGGCCCCCACTGCGTCTTTTTTTTTTATTTTTTATATCCTCACCTGAGGATACTTTACCCAAGGGTACTTTTAAGGATACTTTCCCATTTATCTTCAATAGAGTATAAGGGGGAGAGAGAGACAGAGAGAGACAGAGAGAGAGACAGAGAGACAGAGAGAGACAGAGAGACTCTCACATCCAGGTAAGAGAGATTCCCACATGACCCCGGCCAGGGCCGAGGACCCAAGGCCTCGGAGGTACATGCCCTTGACTGGAATTGAACCCGCCACTCTTTGGTCCGGGGCGGTCGCTCTGACCGCTGAGTCAAACTGGTCAGGACAAGGGCTGCGTCTTTAACACTTGCTTTTACTCTTCAAAGAAATGGGAAGAGACAACACCAGACATATTCCAGAGAGGCCAGTCACTGGGGTAAAATAAGGGGAAATGGCTTCTGGGGGCTTCCTGCCGGGAGGTTTTGTGTTTAATGCCCGGCGGCTGGCAGGGCGCCCCCTACCGTTCCTTTCTGTTTTCGGGTGACCACCGCAGCGGTGGATCACTGTGCGCAGCAGGACCATGGCTGCGAGCAGCTGTGCCTGAACACAGGGGAGTCCTTCGTCTGCCAGTGCTCGGAAGGCTTCCTCATCAACGAGGACCTCAAGACCTGCTCCCGTGAGTGCCCTCCCACTTCTCCGCCAGGGAGGGGCGTGCCGTGAGGGCGGCGGCCATGCCCCTTTCCTCTGCCCTTGCTCCAGGGAGATCAGGGGTGTCCTCGGGGGACGGCAGGCCTGGGGCGAGGTGGGGTAGGAAAGCCCAGCGCCTCGCTGACCACCTCACCTGGCTCTTGGGTTTGCAGGTGCTGATTACTGCCTGCTGAGCGACCACGGCTGCGAGTACGCCTGCGTCAACACGGACAGATCCTTTGCCTGTCAGTGTCCGGAGGGACAGGTGCTCCGCAGCGATGGGAAGACCTGTGCCAGTGAGTGTTGCGCGTCTGGCGCCAAGTGGGCCTTGGCATGGGCGATCCCCGGGCGATGGGCATCCCTATGCAGTGCGCTGTCGGACAGGGAGTGGCTGTGCACGGCCCCGGGTTCCCTGGGCAGGGTCAATGTGCCAGAAGGCCTCACTCAGGTATGTGAGCCCTGGTGCTGCTCCCCGCGCCCCGACCTTCCTTTCCGGCACCGTGAGACGGCTTTTCCTAGCCACAGTGCGCCTTGCCATCACTCTGAGGTTGCCCAGAGCCCTGTTTCTTTCTTTCTTTTTTTTTTAATCCTAACCCGAGGACATTTTTCCATTTTTTGCACAAATAGAGTGGAAGGGGGAGAGAGGAAGAGAGAGAGAGAGAGAAACATCGATGTGAAAGGGACACATCGAGTGGCTGCCACCCGCACGACCAACCAGGGCCGGGGACAAACTGCAACCGAGGTACGTGCCCTTAGTGGGAACCGAACCTGGGTCTCTCCAGACCGCAGGCCGATGCTCTAACCGCTGAGCCAAACCAGCCAGGGCGAGCCCTGTTTCTTAACTCTCACTTCTCTAACCCGAAATCAGCCTGAAAGTGGTAGCCAGCGGGGGTTGCATAAGAATAATAATACCATGGCCCCCTTACTGACTGCTGACTTTATTCTGGCACTCTGTTAAACATAGGCAGGCATTCTGCTGTTCCCGCAGCCCCGTGGAACCCCATCCTGCCTGAGGAATCTGCAGCTCAGATTTACTCAAGAGCCTAAGGTTACCAGCTGTTATGGTAGTAGGTTCCAACTCGGTTCTATGTGACTCCAGAGTCACTTCTGGGAGAAAGGGAGTGCTGTCTCTTAGCCTGCGGGGATCGGTACAATGTAATGAAACTACAAGCACACGCTGCTTGGAGTGAGGGGGAGCTTTGCAAGGTAGCAAATGCTCCAGTTTTCTGGATGCAGTCCCATCTATTTATTTGCAGATTGGTACCCCCAGGTCATAAGTGGATTTAAGTAAATTATTTCCTTAAGATGGCATTACTGCAAACATACACCTTAGCTTTGTCTCTTGCTTCTTATGGGAAGAGACCTTAAAGCTAAAAGATAACAAACCCTTATTCACATGCAAATGAAGTACCCAAGACACCTGGGCAGGCCAGGTTTCTTCCCCTGGGCCAGGATTCCAAGAATGCATTAACACAAGGTTGAGAGTGCTTATCTCAAGGTTAAAAACTGTCCATCTTCTGCCCTGGCCAGTTTGGCTCAGCATTTAGTGTCAGCCTGTGGTCCAGAGAGACCCGGGTTTGGTTCCCCCTAAGGGTGCGTACCTCGGTTGCAGTTTGTCCCTGGCCCTGGTTGGGTTGTGTGAGTGGCAGCCACTAGATGTGTCCCTTTCACGTCGATGTTTTTCTCTCTCGCTCTCTCTCCCCCTCCCACTCTATCTGAACAAAAAATGAAAGAAAAAATAAACAAAAACCCCCAACCCTACAGAGGAGACCTGAGAAACCTCCCCTCCCACACCATGATAATCTGGTTTCAGATGGTGAGGTTGGCAATGTTGTGTCCTGGGTACATTCTTCCTTGCAGCTTATCCCATTAATTAAAAAAAACTTAAGTATCCATTAGCTGATCTTTCTCTCAAAAATATGCTGTTTTCTGTCCTGCAACCCTATTTTTAAGATAAAAACTTTAAAAAGTCATTTTGAGAGAAGAGATCAGAAATGGAGGAAAATGACTATCATTTACCTTCCCCATCCTGCTGGTCTTTCTGGTTATAGGATCAAACCACTGATACAATTGTGGCCACAACCGGCCTGGCTGGTGTGGTTCAGTGGATTGAGCACCATCCATGGACTGAGAGGTCCCAGTTGGATCCTGGTCAGGGCACATCCCTGGGTTGTGGGTTCGATCCCCGGTAGGGGGCATGCAGGAGGCAGCCAATGGATATATCTCTCCCACGTCAATGTTTCTATCTTTCTGCTTTCTACCTTTCCTCTCTCTCTAAAAAACAAAAAAGAAAAGCAACAACAACAAAAAAGAAAATAATTGTGGCCACAACCTAACTTATCCACCTTTTTTATGTGGTGCATTTGTGTGGGAAGGTGAGCTGGGTGTGCCCTAAGTGTGCAGCCTGTGAGAAATGTTTCCCTAGTTTGAGACAGATTCTTGAGTGTTGGCAAGTGGATTATTCATTTTACAGTTTGCTTGTGGCTGCCTGCCCAGCTGCCTCCCGGACTGCTGCTCCAGCCTGGGGTATGGGCACTGGGGATGCAGAAAGAACATGGGTGTGTCAAATTGCGTCGACATCTGACAACGTGCCAAAGCCAGATGCATGGTTTTCTATTGGTGTATTTTAATTCCCATCATCTTAGATTATTTATGCCCTTCCTTTGTCCTCCCTCTTACTGTGATTACCAACAGCTGACTCTAAAATGCTTGCGGGAAATTCTGAGAAATTCTCATGGCCCTTGCAAACAAATGTTGCCCCTTTTCCTTAAAATCACAAACCTCCTCTCCTTCCCTCCCCAGGTCCACATCTGGGTTATGCCACTGACACTTTTAAACCTTGCCCATTTTCTCATTTAAAGTGTGTTTGTAACTAATGGTGTCATGACGTCATCCATGTGAGTAAATGTTCAACAGTATAATTAGACGTGAATTTTGATACGTGTGTGTTATATATGGTTGTGACTATATGAAAACTTATGAGATCATCAGATGGGTTAGAATTATCCTCAGGGAATGGTCCTAAGAATTATCCTAAGAGATGCATTTTCCCCACCAGCAGATACCTATGTTTTAAGCTGTTCTCCCAGTTGAGACTTTCTGTCTGCCCCAGGATGCTTCAGCCCTGCCTGCAGTAACGGGCTGTGTTTTCCGTGTGGCCATGATTAACTGCGGGCTGGGATTTTCATTTCCCTGCTCCATGCAGACGACAAAGGTCCTGATGATGTGACTGTACATTTTGGAAAACCAGCTGGGCTCTCCCTCCAAATGACCATCACATTGAGGGTAGGACTTCAACGTATGGATCAGTCCACATTGTAGGTTTGATGAAACAGAAGGAAGCTTGGAGAACTCCCTTTCCTTTTGTGGGAAACAGCACAGGTAGGAAACTGGCACCCCCAGGCTGGCCCCAGGGGTCAGTGGGATCTTTTGCCCCGAGTGAGTTCAGCTGCTTCTTGATTTGTCTGAGTCAAAGCCTCTAGGCCCCAGAGTCCAGGGAGTTAGCAAATGATTGGCTGCTCCTAGTTTTATTACAAGGAAAGCCAGAAAACAGTGTCATTTTGTTTCTTGGCATTGGTTACCCTCTAGCCAGGTGGCCACTGTGGCCTTCTCCCTGTGGAGGGGGTGGGTTTTAACAACCTCCTACGTGGAGCCCCAGACACAGAAATGCTGTCAGTCATCGCCGCAGAGGTGCGAGGCCACAGGACACGTTACCCCATTAATGCCACACCACCAACGTATGTGTCTCACCAGATGTGGAATCCAGATGTGGGGAGCACAGTCTGTATCAGCATGCAGGGCTGCCAGAAGGGGCCCTAAAAACCTGCACTGTGTCCTGAAACTTCTGATCATCCTGATCCCAGATGGCAGACCCCACCCATGATGAGGGCTTCATTAAATATGTGGACCCGCCTCCTCAGTGTGTAGAGGAAGAGGACCCCCACCTTTTTAAAAAGGATTTATTAATTTTAACTTTTATTTTTTATTCTCACCTGAGGACATTTTTGCATTTATCTTCAGATAGAGCGGGAGGGTGAGAGGGAGGAAGAGAGAGAGAGAAAACATCGATGTGAGAGAGACACATCGACTGGCTGCCACCCACACGACCCCAGCCCGGGCCCAGGACAAACTGCAACCGAGGTACATGCCCTTAACGGGAACCAAACCCGGGTCTCTCTGGTCCACAGGCCGACGCTCTAACCGCTGAGCCAAAGTGGCCAGGGCAAGAGGACCCCCATTTAGAAGGAACTGTCTTCGTCCTGCATCCTGAGACTCCTCAGAAGTCCTCTCATTCATTTCACTTCAGTGGTGGCTCGCAGTCCAGTGTGCCCTCCCTCTGGTCTCTGGATTTGAGTCTAGGTATTTCCTTAAGCTGGGTCTGGTTTCCTCGTTCTGCAGCGGGCATGCCTGGGGTATATGCAGGCTCAGTTTCTGTCCTAACACAGTTTAGTTTCTCAGGGAAGAAAGAGAGTAAAGACATATCATCCATTCCATGTGATGAGAGTTGTGATGTGGGAAGAGGTGTCACAAGAGCACGTGACAGGGGGACCATCACCTAGTCTAGAGAAAGTCTCCCGAGAAAGAGCTGTTTCATCTGACGCCTAGAGATTGATGGAGTGAGCGAGCCAGAGATGGAGGGTGTTATGGACCAAATGTCTGTGTCCTCCCCCAATTCATATGTTGGAACCTAACTGCCCACAGGTCATACATTAGGAGGTGGGGACTTTGGGAGGCCATCAGGTCATGAGCATGGAGCCCTTATGAATGGGATTGGTGCTTGTATGAAAGAGACCCCACAGAGTTCCCTGTCCTTTCTGCCGTGTGAGGCTGCAACTAGACGTCTGCGACCTGGAAGGAGGCCCTCACCAGCCACCTGGGCACCCTGATCTTGGACCTCCAGCCTTCACAACTGCGATCGGCACGTTTTACTGTTACAAGCCGCCCACGGACGAGGAGGGGAGGGGAGGGCTCTTCCCAGGCACCAGAAACAGCACGTGGAAGCCCAGGTTCTGGCGAGTGCACTGAGCACTGAGTTTGGAGTTAGAGAGGGAGGCTGGTGAGAGAGGAGGCTGGAGAAGCAGGCGGGACAGATCACCTACAGTGGTTAGAGTTACAGTAAACTATTTGGAGGCCTGGCCTCCCTTGAGAAAACGATTGTAATTTGTCTTCTGAGAATCTACAGTGCGTCTGAGCAGACTCTACTAACCCAGAATGACCACTGGAGGTGCAGCCGGACCAGGGGACATGGCGGGGAGAGACTTGTGATCCCACCACACCTCTGGCACTGCTCAGCGGA